TAAAAGGTGCAGAATGAGTGGAGGAGTTCCAGAGGCCTGCTTTGTGAATGGAAGAGAAAAAAAGAAATGTAGTTCACAGGATAATCTGTGATGATGTCCTACACCACATCCTTCTTGCTTATTCACATAACCAAATATGGCTGAACTGTCCTTGTTCTTTTTCCCCAAGTGTGCAGGCGCATCTTTGGGTGCTTGCCACTTTAAGCACCTGAGCAGGCTGTGAGGCAGTCTGCAGGTGACTGCAGGTCCAATCAGGTGGTCACATGACAGCCAGGAGGCAGCCTGATTGGAGTAGGGTGGTGCAGCCACAGTATAACAGGCCCCGAGGAACAGAGAGAAGAGTTGCTGCAGGGATGCTAAGGATCGGTTGCTCCCAGGAACAGTCTGGAGGTTACAGGTAGGAACTACAGGGATGGAGGAGGTTCCTAGGGACCCAGCGGGGTCCCAAACCCTGAGGAAAAGGTGATGGGTCTAGGAAAGAATGAGGCCTGTCTTGTAAAAGGGGCTTAGAGTTGGTGGGCTACTGAGGGCCTCAGATGAGCCCAGTGGTGAGAGAGGCTGATGCTTGAGACCTCTAGGGCTCTAGGCAAGCCTGGGGAAGTTGTTGGCTTTTGATGGGGCCCAGGGTAGACCCCTGCCGAGTAGGAAGGGCAGCTGCTGCCAAACTGATCCTTTACCTCAACTGGTCAATACAAGGGTGCCAGGGCCATCAGGCCAAAAAGGAAAGGAAGTGTACCACGAGGGGCAGACCAGGGCTGTGGAGAGCTGCTGGCACCCTGAGTGGCCTGAAGGCAGGTCCAGGGCCTTAAGCAGACCAAACATCTCCCTTCTGGTAGGAATCCACTGCCGAAAGAGGATAGGGGTCAGCCAGCAAGCAGGCTGATATGAAGGAGGCTACAGCTCAGCCTGTTGGGAGGCATCCTAGAAAGGAGGCCTGGGAGAGATAGGACAGTGATGGAGGGCAGCCTATGAGATGGAGGCTGCAGTAGAGTGTCCAGGAGAGCGAGCAGCCCAGGTACAATATCCAGGGGCCAAGTGTAGGAATAAGAGCAGGACAGGTAGGCCTCCAGTTGGTCTTGGAGAATGACCTAAAACTACAGCCTGCTAGGGTAGGATGGTGTGGTAGGGTTACCTGTGGTGGGGCAGCCCCCAGGAAATGCCACATCAGTGCCTCCCTAGTGAAAGGTGAGTAGGGGGTGCTGGACAGCCTCAGCCCCCACTGCCTTGTAGGTGACCCTGTGGAGGGAAAAGGCTAGGGGAACACACCCTGAGAGGGAAGCAGCAGGCTTGGGCAACAGCACTAGGGCCAGGAGGGCCTGAGGCCCAAGGTCTAAATCAGAGTGAGGTCAGAGACCTGAATGGGCTGCAAGCCAGGAGTGGGGTCCATACACACTGACAGGCACCTGAGGCCCATGGGGTATAAGGCCCCATAGCCCCAGTGAGTAACTTAGGGTAGAAACTTAGTGAGAGGTATAAAGCCCAGAGTACACACAGGAGATTGGGGCATGAGGTCAACACATGTCTACGGACACCTGTGGCCCAGCAATGGGGCTGGGTGAGTTAGGAATGATTTGGATGCAATCTGTGATGCCTGGGACACAGTAAAGGGAAGGCTGGAGTGGAGTATTACACCCTTGGCATGAGGGTGTTAAATGGTCTGCCTCCTGCATTTTTTCCATCTAATTTCAGATGCATCAAGACATGGCAGGTGAATCAGGGCAGACTGCCCTAGACAGGTGGGTGGGTGGGCTGACACTGAGCAGCCCCATCACACCAAGCATTGGAACCAAAAGCTGACTTCAAGGACAGAAGGGCAATTCAATGGTATTCCTCAGAAATTTAGGTGACTTCTTCATGAATAGGGAGGACACAGGCTGGATTCAATTGACAAGACTTACAGCCACAGGGGAGAGTGACCTAAGATACCAACCAAGACAGACCAGCAGGAGACCTAAACATAGTCAAATAGGCACCGTCAAAATGACAATACTTCCTCATGCAGGAAGACCACTGATTCAAGAAGATCCTAAGCATATGAATAGTATGTGAACACTAAGCATCTGTGCACTGAAGTGCTTTAGTAAAACGAACTAAATTGATAAATGATTTTTATTTGATTTCCCTTCATCTACACTTAGGAACAGGCAGCCATAATGCATAGTTTAACTAAAAACATAGAAGTTGCTTTTATTATGAAAATGCTAACCATGTGCAAGGCCACAGAGGAACCATCAATCACTTTAATACATCTACTACATTTCCCTTTCATTCCAACAAACACTTAACAAGGGTAGTTCAGACAGGGCTAATCCTGCTTAGAGCAGGGGGAGTCAGATAAATGGACCTCTTAAAGTCCCTCCTATTCTTGATTTTACTAATTCTAATTTAGTCAGTATTGGATACACAAGTTGTCTGTCACTGTTACTTTACAAATCTTTGCTGATTTTCCTCTGGACATTTTTCACATTCTTAATACCTGTTATTTTCTTCGGGACTAAAGGAAGTGTGTTACAGGATAAAATCCTGTATAGTACTAGGATTTTAGACATACAACTTAGGGTGAAGTAAAGGGAGATGGGTGGGGGCTTACTGTGTCAGCTGTTCCACAGTCACTACATGGGTATAGGCCAGGGGCAGGCAACATTTTTTGGCCACAGTACCGAAAACCCCCACAATGCTTACCTTGGAAAGTGCAAGAGTGCCAGAAAAACAAAATGAGGGTAGGGGGTACATGGCAGGATGCCCTGCTTGTGCCCCTTGCCCCCCACCCTGGGTTCTGTGGCTGTCAGCAGCTACCCAGAACCTGGGCCAGCTGCAAACATCTACTGCCTCTCTGCTCTGGCCCCAGCCCCAGCCCCGGGATCTGGGGAGGGAGCACATACCGGCAGTGCTCCCCTCGCTGCTTCTGCATAGCAGGGCTGGAATGTGGCACAGCAGGGCATGTCAGGGGGGTGCAGAAAGCTGTCTGCTCTGAGCTCCCCACTGTGTGCACAGGAGCAGCTTAGGCAGCAGCACAGGGTTGTGCCCCTCACTGCTGCCCCCACCTGCAGGGGAAGTGTGGCCAGGGCAGTGGGGAGGTGGGAGCAGGCAGCTTTCTGCACTCCCCACTGTGTCCTGCCATGCTGGGTTTCAATGCTGCTTTGCAGAAGCCATGAGGGCAGCACAGTGGGAGTGCCCAGCCCCAGCTCAGTATGTGCTGCTTCCTCAGAGGCTGGGGCTGGGATGCAGCTGGGGCTGGGGCCAGGCCAGAGAGGCAGATGTTTGCAGCTGGCCTAGGTTCTGGATAGCTGCTGATAGCCACAGAGCCCAGGCTGCTTGCAGCAAAGCTTCCATGGGAGCAGCCCGGGCTCCATGGCTATCAGCAGCTACCCAGAACCAGGGCTGGCTGCAGCCAGGAGGCTACAGAACAGCTGTTGTAGCCCTGGCAGCATGTGCCAGAGCTGGGAGGGAACAGCTGTTTGTAGCCTCCTGGCTGCAGCCAGCCCCAGCTCTGGGTAGCTGCTGGTAGCCACAGAGCCTGCAGCATCCCAGCTAGCAGCAGCTACTGCTACCCAGAGCTGGGGCCGGCTGCTAACAGCTGCTGCCTCCCCGGCCCCAACACATGCCAAGGAAGATGGCCTCGCGTGCCATGCTGGACATATGCTGGGGGTTGCCGACCCCTGGTATAGGCTCTTAGTCCCGCAAATTAAAGTCTAGCCTACAACAGGACACCCCTCCAAGGAAGAGGCCTGAACTGTCACTGCTCAGGGCTTAATTAGCATTTGCTAAAAGCATGCATCACAGCCTGTTCCCACTGAGCAGCTGTTAGGTATTAAGTCTTCACTCTCTCTACTTCATGGTAACTTGTTCATGTGCCCAGTGCCTTTACTTGTTGTTTAAGTTAAGATGTTTCCCCTCACTGAAGTGGTTTCTAGAATCAGAGTTCCATGCATCCCAGAATTAGTGTTCTTAGCCACTGCAGAATTCTATTTTGCTTTCAAAAAGTATGTAAAAACTGCCTTTAGCTTTCCCAGAGTCAAAAAGCAACCCCCCCCCCCAACTGCCACCCATGCTCATCTGGCAGAAAGAGTTAACTAGAAAAGTTCTCAGATTAAGAGAGACCTTTGATATACTAATTACAAGCTGACAGCGTGGTTAAAAATGTGATGAATTTTCGTTTTAGAATGTTCATATCCCAGTATGACTGTTTTACTTAATTTTCCTCTTCTAATATTAGCCCATGTTTGACTTTCTATCTCAGATATGCTTTTTGACAAGCCTAGACCTTGCTGGTGTGGAGTCAAGCACAAATATACTTATCAGAATTCCTAGGGCAGTGTTTCTCAACCCATGGTTTGCGATCTAAAAAAGTGTGTTGCAAGAATATATGAAAGAGTCGCAAACAAACTTTAACAATGGATCAAAAAATGGATTCTCCAATAAAGGAGAAAAGTGCGGGAAACCATGGCTTTTTCCTTGCAGGCTGTCAGAGTTCCAGCCTGCAAGGGGCTGCTTGCCCCTCTTCACCCCTCCACACTGAGGGGCTGGGACCTGGGGGCAGTGGGCCAGGAGTGTGGAGCACTGGGTCAGGACTGGCCATCTATGTTTACAAATGGGTCCTGGTACCAAAAAGGTTGAGAACCACTATCCTAGGGTACAGCTCCATAGCACTGCAATAAAAAAAACAAACTGAAATTGGAGCTGTCTTCCAAAACAATACTAAAAACTTGGAAAAAAGTTTCACACCTTATATTTTTGATCCCATATTTTTTCAAGCATTACATAAATTTGTTATACTGTTGCCAACAAAGTACAGTTGGACATTGCTCATTTACATTTATTATTGGGATGCCCTTTTGGAGTTTTTGGTTTTTCAATTAAGTGAATGTGGAAAACAAAGCATTACACCACAAAACACACTTTGCCATCTGCTCTGGCTAATACTGGCTACAATATATTTTTTAAACAAAAGTTAGTCAGATGAGCCCTCACTACAGTATTAAATAAAATGGAAAGCCACATTCTTACAGAGATTAAAATGTGGGGTTTAATGAAAGACCAGTTAACAAGGTTCAATCAATTATTCCACTGAAGAGAAGAAATTGTAAAAAACAAAAAAAAAAAAACACAACCCAAACAAACCCCAAAATACCCAGCATTAAAACAAAGAGCCCCAATAGCAGGATTTCATATAAAATGCAAAATATTCAAACATTTGTATATTAGTTTATGACATTTACTAAATGGCACCAGAAGATTTCATACACTAAATATGGAACAAAAGATCAATAATACTTCAACTCTTAAAAAAAAGTTACCCCCAAAAAACAACCCCCTTCCCAGTGGTTAAGAAACAGAGATTTTCTGCCTTTGTACATGTTGCTAAAATAAAGTTGTAAATGTGTAATGAACACAACTGAAATTTAATCTATACATCTTCTGACCTGGTTAGATTCAGTAACTAAGTAAAAAAAGATTTCCATATTTAAGTTAAGTTATCTACAGATTATGTCTATATATAAAAAAAGGTGTGGATATATACATTTAATATATACACACACACGCACACAATCATACATATATACATGAACTGTTACTGTTATTTCCCCTCCTCACAGGTGGCCAGCAGAGACCATGTACCACATTAGAACCTTTAAGGCTGCAACAGTGTATTGTAATGGGACAAAACACCAGCATTTGCCCTTGAATGGGGCAATATTGTTCCACTTCATGATCTATTATTACATAACTAATTTTATGATACTACTAGATTCCAATAACTTAGAATTCATGGTATAAAAACAACTCCAGAAACATAACTCTGCCAGTTGAAGAATGCCCCCCTCCCTGCCAACCCACATTTTCACTAAATTACTAAGTCACCAAACTAGGCCTTATCAGAAACTGCAACAAGTTCTTCAGCCTTAATCTAAACCAACATGCATCAAAACATTCTGGAGAGTTGCATCCTTTGACTTCCTCATCTTTTCAATTGCCCTGTGTAGATCCTGCTGTTGTACTGGCCGAATCTCATCTTCATCATGGCTAGAAAAACATTCAAATGATTCAAATGTTACATAACGGAGCCAATTTACAGAGCATAAAGTAATCTTCAATTATAAAAAACAGGTAGCTAGTGCTAAATAGCAAATATATGGTTTATATCAATAGATGTAATTGACCTACCAGAGGTACTGCAGGAAAAAAAAAGTAAGGCCTGTTTCTTGCTGCAATATTCAACATTGCAGTACTCGAACACAGGGCATGTATCTAGGTGCATGTAAACACAACGCCATATGGGTTCCTTTGAAGTTACGATATTGCATTAGTAGAAAAGATTGTTCAAATAAGGAGCTGGTCCAATGGGAATGAAAACAAGTTAAGAGGAACCGTAGGGTACGTCTACATTGATTCTGCACAAAACATTAAGCTCCGCCTTCCACACACACAGCTGCCCCCACCCAGCAGGGCAGTTGGGAGGATATTCCATGGATAGTCACTGCTGCCACGCTTAATGTCTCTACTTCTGGTGTGTTCTGGTGTGACAGAGGCAGCAGGCAACCTCACTGGCACATTTCTGGGTGTGCAGCAGAGCAGGGCCTGAATTTTAGCAACACCCTCAAGACTAGTTGCTGTGCAGATGTATGAACACAAGCCCCAAACCAGCCCAGGGCCTGCCATGGCAAGTGACAGGTCTGCTGGGGAAGGAGGTGGAAGGCATTTTGCAGACTAAAAGTCAACTGTCTCTTACCATCACTTAGCAATGAAATTCTGAACAGTGTAAACTACCAGTGGTTTCTGGCTTCTGCTGTTTATAGGGTACTTGTACATACAACAAAATTGGCCTTTAAAGCAGCTTAATTGCCCTTTTGCACTGCTTTAATGCATTGCTGGTTACGTGTTCGGTAGTATATTTCACTTTAATTTTGTGACAATGTACACGTTTGGCAGTGTATTCCACTTTAAATGACTTTGTTATGTAGCAAGGTAAAACCCATTCAAGGTATTTTAGTTTGCTATGTAACAAAAGTGCAATGGTGCACGGGGTGCTGGAAGCCCAGACGTTCTCAGAGAAGCTTGGGCTTGGCGGGCTTCCAGGACCCTATGTACTGTCCCCACCACCTTCTCCTGCTACCAGCACTCCCACCTGCCCTCCTGCCACCTCACTGCTCTGCCCCAGGGGCAAGCCAGCCCGTTCCGGCTAGTCCCAGGTGACAGGAAGGCGGAAGGGATGGTGCATGGGGTGCTGGAGCCTACCTGCCTCTACTGAGACCAGGGGCGAGCTGCTAGTGTGCCAAGCAGCTCCTGAGCTGTGGGGGACCCTGGAACTTCCCTCCGTGGTGGTGACACCCCTGACGCAGCACCTGCCCATTATCACCTGGCCTGGCCATTAAGCACTGGGCCCCACACAGCTCAGGGACTCTGCAACACAGCAGCAGCTTGTGCAGGCAGGCTCCACTGGGAAGAAGAAAAGTGGAAAGCAGCCCCATTTTTTTTTTCTTCCCAGAACCTGCCTGCCTGAGCTGCGCAGGGCCTGGTGCTTGCTTCCATGGCTGCAGCGCCCCCTGGGACCACCTAGGTGGGCTGCTAGCAGATGGGTGCTGCCTAGAGGGCACCACTGCCATGGAAGGAAGCACTGGGCCCTGAGTAGCTCAGGCAGGCTTGGAGAGGAAAAAGATCAGGCTCCTCACTGCTTTTTTCTTTTTGCACCCCCCGCCCAGTCAAGCTTGCTTGCATGAGCTGCTGCCAGGTTGCACAGCCCCCGAGCTGTGTGGGGCCCAGTGCTTCTGTCTGTGATGGTAGCGCCCCCCAGGACCACTGGGGCAGGCTGCTATTGGGTGGGTGCTGCTGCTGTGGAGGGAAGGACCCACCACAGCTCAGGGATCATTTGGCCTGCTGGCAGCTCGCTTCCTCCAACCCCCCAACAGGAGAGGCAGGTAAGCTTGGGGGGGAGGAGGATTTGGCCCCTCACCGCTTTTTTTTTTTCCTGGTGCAGCCTGTGAGGGGGGTGGCGCAGCAGGCAGAGGGAAGTGGGTAAGCTGACAGGGGGCTGAGATGCACTGAAATCCCTAAAATTGAAATGGTGGCTTTTTAAACAAAATCACAATTAAAAAAAAACAAAACAAAAAAAAACCTCACCAAATTAAAAAACACGCTATTTCAATTTAGGGAGAACTAAACCCCTGTTGTGTGTACAAGCACCCATAGAGAGAGAATCAATTCTGACTAGATATAGCTTTTTTCTTTGTTCACTTTTCAGTAGAATGGTAAAATGTAGCACTCAAATCACCATAGGAATTCTGGTGAGAGCTGCAGGCCAAAATAAGTTTGATGACAGTGATCTTACAGCAGAATCTATGAAGCGCTGATGATACAATGCATATTTCAATGTTTAAGAAGGGGTGAAAAAACCACAGCACAGTTCAAGGGGTATCTCAAGAAGACACGACCACCTCATGGTCATTACATAATGAAGGCAAACCTGAAGACATGTAGCCTGACAATTACATTAAGATCAATAAAGTCACAGGCACGCGAAAGTGTGTCCAAGATCTCAGCCTGACTCAGTGATACAGTCTACAAAGGCAAAGTTCAAGGCTGTCAACAATCCCCTTGGGTTAATCTTTTACCAGAATGTTACCCATAATAATATTTTCACCAATAACCTGATTAACTACATAAGATGAAGTGATTTATTCATTGACCTTTCATTTAACAGTGAGCATTACATCTTATCAAACTTGTTGATAGAAAGCAATGGTTTCTTTTTCCCTACACAAATTTTTGCTGCCAAAAATAGAGCACCAAAGACAACTACTTGGTTTACCGAACATCAAGCCTAAGGAGCTCTCAGCCTGGCTGCTGTGACACGAAAGATAAAACACCCGTACCTTTCTTCACACGTGGAATTGACGTATTCCCTGACACAAAAGAGCGCTGCATCCCGGCACATTTCCTTCAAATCGCTCCCTGAAAAACCATCTGTTTCTTTAGCAATTTCTAGGAGGTCTACACGCCTGTCCACCTGCCATGAAAGAGGCAAAAGCATGAAAACATATAAGTCACTTAAGTTTTTCTACTAAAATACGAAAAAGCCACAGTTGGGGGTTAAGAACCCTTTCAAGATTTTATATAAAGTTTTGCCTTTTTTAGGAACTAAAAGTAAATATGAAGAGCATTTGCTAACTTAAGGGAATTATCCCCTCCTCTTAGTTATGTTCAGGTAGTAAGTAAAAATAAAGCTTCAATAGTAAAATTGGATAGCTGGTAAAAATTCACTGGCAACCATTGGAAAGTGTATACATTTTGCTATATTTGTCTTTGTATACAAATCTACAGTGCTGACAGCTGAAGAAGAATCACTTCCTGTGGCATAAGCTTTATGAAAATCTTTAGACTTCATCTCCGCTAGCAAAATACAGCTGTTGGAATGTGACTTGAAGAAGTTGCTGTAAATCAGCCTGTAACTACAACTCAGCATTCTGTGGCTACCGGCTGATGCAATGAGTCAGACACAGAAAACCTGATGTGCACTCCAACACCAGTCCTTCCCTACGAGGGGCTGATTCCATAAGGTCCGAGGGGACTCAACTCCTCCTCTGTATAGAAAGTCAAAAATAAGAACTGGAAAAAGGCTTATTAGTCAACATGTAGAAAAAAAATTCCACAAAGAAAAGAAAAGAAAAGAAAAGAAACGGAACACTCAGTCAACGTAAGAGCTTATTTCTGAGACATTATTCAGAAGTGTACCCTTCGCTTTATGCAGTTTCATTTTAACACTCATTTTTGGGAAGTGCACAGTACATTTGAAAAATATCCTTGGATATTCATATTGCTGTTAACTACCATTTAAGGAAAACCATGATTTTCATTGTACACAATGAGTTAGTGAAAAACTACGCCCATCTGGCATATGGACGGGTTTCAAAAAAGATTAGAACGGAAAAACTACTTGCTCACGTAAGTACCAAATAAGAGGCATGGCTTAGCAGAGAACTCAGGAGAATCCTCATTCCCTGCTGAAAGCTCTGATCAGGATCCAGAACCCCCCCAATCAGTCCATATTGTATCGGCACTGATAAAAGGAAAATTGACATTATTGGCAATCAGCTTTTTTCAGCTGAGGTGGCCAATAATGGTCGCCAATACATGCCACATGCACGCGCACAGCCGTAGTATGCTGCCAGGCTAGCCGCATGCATGGAGAATAGCATCCAGCTGGTAAGTCTGTTGGGGGCAGAGGGGAAGGGGTGGTAGGAGAGAAGGGGCATGGGGGGACATAGATCAAGACCCCTGGAGTGAGGAAGGGAGTTCAGGGGCAGGTGCTGCCCAGCTGGGGTGGGGCGTGGGACAGAACTATGAGAGGCTCATGGGGAGGTGGAGGGCATGGGGAGGGGGTATGGTTCCCACTGCTGCACACACCCCCACAGGAGCCATTGTGGGGCATGTGCCCTCTGGATCTGTGCACAGGGTAAAGGTGGGCTGCTGCTCTGGAGCCTGGGGTCGCGCTAGGCTCTTCTTGGTCAGGGGGCTGCACTCAGAGAGGAAGGCAGCGATGCTGGGAGGGGCAGGGTCAGCAGGGAGGCTACAGAGAATTCTGATGTGGCCACAGCCCACCACATAGCCCTCCTCCCAGCGCTGCAGCCATCTGCCCCAAACACAGCCCCAGCCCAGCCCCCTGCCGGGAAGAGCCACGAACTGCCCTGGTCCCAGCCTGCAGTGGCAGCCTACCCTCACCCAGTGCAGATCTGAGGGGCACCCATCCCCTATGGCTCCTGCAGGGGTGTGCACAGCAGCAGGATCCACCCCCTTCTACCCACGCTGTATCTCCCCACGCCCCCCTCTCTAGCTGGGCAGCACCTGCCCCAGCCCCACTCCCTCCCTCACTGCAGGGGCTTCCATCTGCCCCTGACACACCCCTTCCCCCCAAACAGACTTACCAGCCAGATGCTGCTCTCCAAGCTGCCAGGCTGCATACCAGCAATCAGACTGCTATTGGCTGATATGGCTCGTTAATAATCAGCCATCAGTACTGACCCAAGAAATATTTATTGGCATACCCCTACCAACAATATTTTGCATCTGAAAACACTAGCATCCACAGGTCCTTTAGTAAAACAAGTGGAAAGAACTGCAGTTCTTTAGAGAAAATAAAGCTGCATGGCTTTAAATAAGGAGGAGGATGTTAAGTTCTTATAAAAGGGAAAATATCTAGCTGTGTATAAAAGATTAACCTACACCAAGTAGGGGGACATCATTTGTAAGATTCCTTCCAGCTCTAACTTATGTAAGTATGTGGACTTCCTAAAAACTAAACCTTTTCAACAAGTGCCACTGTCAAAATCTGTAGTCTAATAGCAAGCCAAGATTATTTTATTTTGATGCTTTAACTTTTAAATATAGATTGTTTTCACAGGTAGTGCTTAAGTAATTTGCCAGACACTACCTGACATTCAAATAATTTTAAATGACAGCTTATGCAGCAAGTTACCTTCTTCACAATCTCAGTCACTCTTAGGGATCAGCTCACACAAGACGGCAACTGAAGGAGATTATAAATCAGTTCTACTGCTAAGATGCGCCTTATTGGTCAGGTCTCAACCTATGATGGTTATGAAAAATAGCCCCTCAGAGTTACCACTGTTGGCTCAAATTCCAGAAGTCTTCCATGGAAATGTAAATAGATTAAATGGAGTACTACACAGAAAACCAGAAAAATCATGTCTTAAATTTTGCAAACAGCAATAGTGATAATATCACTGACATCCCAACTCTCTGGTTCCTCCTCCTCCTTTTATAGTCTAACCTGTGACTGACATTATTGGGATGGGTAAGAGGCAGCCCCTTTTTACTCAGAGGCCAATCCTTCCAAAAAACAGTACTATCAAAATAAATGATGAATACTCCCAAATTAACTGGAGAAAATACCTGCAGCATCCAAAACCTTCGATGTCCCTTTCCTTCAAACACTTAATCAGTACTAATTTATTAGTCAAAATGCTTTCCAGTATGAATTAGTCACCACAATGTCAGAAGGCAGGTAAATGCCATCTTTGTACAGATGAGGAAATAGAGATTGAAAGATTAAGTAATTTGCCCAGACGCACTATGATTCACTCAGCAGTCCTGAGACTAGAACACTAAATTTCAAGCTTAACCACCATTTCAAGCTTAACCTGCTAAATAATTCCACTTCTCAAAACTGAAGTCACACCCAAAATGGATAACACTCCCTGACAGTGTACTGGCATGTTCTTGACTATACTCCATACCCAGGCCAAATCAGCTGATTTTAAAACATGTTTTCCAACCTCTTCTATTTGCCCACATAATGATATGAAAGAAAAATGAATCAATTAAAAAGAAAAACGTGCCAACTTACATTTTCATTTTTCAATATCAGTTTCAGGATGGCTTCTCGCTGTTTCAGAGCCTTTAAATAAAAGAGGTTTTTGCAGTTGTTACAGTAGAGAAATTGCTCCAACATAATGCATTGCTTTAGCTGTTAAAAATGACACAACTTGTACATGCTTATCTTGTACTGCATCACCCCCCAAGACATCTCTCGGGGTACAGACTGACCCCCGGCAATGGGAAATCAGTTTCTTTAACATGTATACTACATGATGGAGCCAGAGTATTATTAGTTTCACATGTTTACAGCAATCAAAGAAAAAAGAGAAGAAACTGACAAACACTTCAGCATGAGGTTAGTTTAGGGCAGACAGACCTACGCAGCTACTGTGGAGTTCTCTGTAGCATGCATCTACCCTAACAGAGAGCAGATGCTCAACGTGTAAACAAGATATTATTCATTACATATTTTGTCAGTCACATAAACAATGGGACTGCTGCAAGTGTTGTTTCCTGAAGTCACAAGCTCATTCTGAAGATCATGCTTGGGAAATATAGACTATATTAATCAGGCACTGCAAGAAGGTTAATGAAAAGGGGTTAAGCAGTTAGCATACCCTTGTAGGCCACATCCACATGAGCATGGACATTTGTCTCTCTGGGGACAAGAAGCAGCAGCACACCTTGTGCCACTGCTACTTTTCCCTGGGGAACGCCTATTGCACATGTCTGCTAGGTGGGATAATGGAAGCTGGAGCCAGGACTGGGCTGGCCACAGTACCCATACCTGGAGTTCTGGGGGCCTCCTGGGGCTGCACCAGTGGAGATCCTGCTGCTTGGAGCCTGGCCAGCAACAGAAGCTGGACTCTGGCTGACCAGGCTGTGGGTTTGGGTGGTACACATGGCCCCCACGTGCTTCGCTTTCTTTTTTCCTGCAAGTGTTTTTTGACCCCAGGATCTCCTGGGGTCATCCCCCCCAACGCTGCTACCTTGCAGCACAAAAAACACCTGAATGTATGGTATGTGGCGCTGCAAACACATCTGCAGTACCACTTACCACACAGTCCCTATGGGCATGTCCAGACAAGTGCGACTAAGATTGTAAGGCAGAGCCATTAGACAAACCTGGCTCTGCCAAGGAACAGGTCATTCAAATTCACTTCCATTCATCAAGAATCATTTGATTAAGTGCAAATCCTGTACAGATTAATAGTTTACTCACTGCCTCAAAAAAAAGTCTGGCTAGCTTTTCCTCTGGCCCTTTAAAGAACTCTGGCTTATTGAAAGTAGCTGGTTCACAGCTCCCAATCCTACTCAGTTTTTAATTTTCAGCTACAGTAGAGAAAAATAAATTACATAGTAACTACAGTGCTCCAAGTTGCCAGGTATAATAGCCATGAAGTTTTCATAACTGATCCATCTGGATGGCCCTTGAGTTAAGAACAGGAGAACTTATTTACTGGGTCAGACCAAATGGCCGTGCAACCTTGAGGAATACCATCTGACAGCGGCAAGGAGTGGATACAGTGGTAGTGAAGGTTAGATCAGGATGAGCTAATAACTTCCCAAGAACTGAAGTGTGTCTGTGTGTCCAGATAGATAGACAGATGCACCTGCAGGCAACTTGAACCTCTTTTTCCCTTGGTGCAAGTGAACAGCGTCCAATCAGAATGCCGAAGTGTGCAACTCTATTCCTTTAGGCTGAATGCAAGAAATATATTAGGAAGTTCTTGTTGGCACAAAGTTGGTTCTAGCTAAAATGTGTAAGACTCATGTTCACATGGGAAATTTCACATTAAAAGGGAAATTATCAGTACTTCTGAAAAAAAAAAATTCTCTGAAGCTCATTTTGCTACCCAGGCAAATACAGGTTTCTTGGCTACAGGTGCCCCCATTCTGCAAACTCCTTGGGCAAACAACCCTTAATTGTATGCATTGTGGGATAACTTACAGGTTGGTTGATGTGGAACCTTGTAGGCATTCTTCTCATAATGGCCGAATCAAGATCCTGAGGGCGATTGGTAGCTCCCATCACTATCACCTACATAGAGAAAGCCAGAAATAATTAAATTAGCACCAGGAAATTATCATAGAATGTGTGTGTGGAGGATGGGGGGGTGGGATGGCGGGGGAAGAGGGCAGAGCAGTGTCACAAAATACATGGATATTTGTACTACCTTGCATCAAGCAAGCCAACATCATTCATTTTAAAACAGCAGGATTTAAATAGGCATGAAAACATTTTAAATGGTTGTAGGTTTCAAGATTTCAAGGTTGAAAGTTCAAACAATTCAAACAAACAGGTAGTAACAGAAAACCCCTACTTTTACAGGTGTTGGCACATTTGTTTAGTTCATACTGGACAAGTCTTCTCCAGAACTTAATGAAGTAAGGCATTTTAGAAGAGCCTTTTTATTCTCTGAATTCTAAGACTATGAATCCAACATCTCATGTAAACACTAATTGCATAAAAAAGTAATATCCTTTAAAAAAAAAAAAAAAAATCAACTACCTGAAAACCCAAAAAGGTACTACTACTGTGGTATTATTGATTGGATCCAAAATCATGAAAAGCTTTACAGAAATGTCATATACTCTAACAACTGTATAAATAACATTTAAAAATTGTGTTCAAAAACAGTATTGAACATGACAACACCTCAAATGCAACCTCAAAAGAAAGTTCGCCCCCAGCCCATATCCAGATCTTTTTCTCACTTGCTATTGTAAACCACAGGTATTGTACATGCTCAGTCACAAAAACATGAAAGTCAAATAATTAATATTACATAATTCTGGACTCCTGAAAAATTCTACTATTGTTGCTCATCTTTCGACTTGGATCATTACCCACAATAAGCCATGGTAGGTTGAGCACTAGGCATCAGAACCAATGGTGCCTACACTTGTTTAGAGTGATGCTGCCACCCAGAGGCTCAAAATTATTACTACACAAAACAACGGAAGAGTAGACATTTAGAGTGCTTGCAGACATAACTCCCACCCATCAAAAAAGGACTTGCCCAGAAGGGGCAGTGCATTACTTCAACCCAGCTTGCCCAACATCTGTAAAGATCAGGCATTTTAGTGGGGCTTTTTTGGTACTTTTATCTAACAGCTGATTGAATCAGTTTTAGCTAAAAGCACCAAAAAGCCCTGCTGAAGCACTCAATCTTTAAAGACGCTGTAGAGCCGGGATGAAGTAACACACCGCTGCTCTTGGTAAAGCTCTTTTTTTTAAACAAACATCTTCAAACAGCCCTTAAGATGCTTCATATTTAACAAGGATGTTGGTCTTTTCTACCTTGGAGAGGTCATAACAGCAGCAGACTCTCCCAATGCCTGAAGAAGGGTGGTTTGTGCCCAAAAGCTCGCAAAAAGACTTTTCTCCAACTATTTAGCTGGTCTAAGAAAAGACAGCACATCTACCCAAAGAACCTTGCCTCATATTTAACAAAACATTGCACATCAGTGGTCAGCAACAGAATGACCCATCTCAGGTCTGAAGCAGGCTGGCGCTAAGACCTAGCCACCGCTGCTGCGTCTTCCAGTCCCAGCATGGTGCAGGTGAAGCCCTGGGGCTCTTGGATCTGGCCTGAAGAAATAGTTCTGTGGTCCTGTTCCGCATTGAGAGCCCATTTAATCAGAGCAACAACCTTTATTACAGCGCAGAAGTAGTGTCAAAACTGATCTGCCTGTGGCAAAAGCCTTGGAGATGGGTGAAAAAAAAATGGCTTTAAGTTGCAGTCGTGTTCCCTTGATTCTGGGAGGCAGCGTGGTTCAGGCCAGTTTCTGATAAAAATCAGATAAGTCTGAAGTTTGATCTTACTTCTCTCTCTGATCATGGTTCCTCATCCCTGCACAAAAAAAGTTAAAAAACAAAAACAAAACAACCCCCCCCAAAAACAACTCCTCCATGACACTTCAGACCTTCCACTGAGTAGAATGTTTTCCAGGTGCATTTGAGGCAGGGGTCCAATTAAAATTCACAACAATGCATTGCCTGCCACATCCTATTGTTAAAGTTCCAAGTCTTTAAATTTTCTTTTGAATTTTACAGCAGTAATAAAATATAGGAGAATCTTTCTTTTCAGGGAGGACATTTCTTTGTCTAGGATTGACAAGCAAACTAATGCTATCAAGAAAACTTTGACAATTAATATTTTGAGAAATGTGTACTTGTCAGTTCTCAGAAAAATACTAAAACAGTAACAAAATTATTTTGGAGATACCTCTTTAAAGATTTTTCTCTTAACAGTAATGAATTCTAACCAAGCACATCCAATAACTGCATTTTCATAATACCTCTAGAGCTCTTCAATCATTTTTTTGTAGAGATTTCCCTATAATAGTTTTGCCATCAGGCTAAGAATTATGAGTAAGGGACACAATGATTTCTTCAGATCTGGTACACCAGACTCAATAGTAGATGTACAAGACCAGATTTATGTTTTACTGCAGCAAAAGTATGCTTTACTGGACTAGTTCCAAGAAGCTTTAACAGTTTTTAAAAAGGGAACATGTTAAAGCAATGGCAAAAATCAGTGCTAAAGGGAACACAAGGTTAAGCCGTTTTAAATTCCAGCTTTGTATTGTGTAAATTTTGCTAGCATTAACATCCTACTGACATACTGGATTTACATACATAACACTGATACATAAGTAACAGCCTGCACTTTTTGATTAATGTGGTGAAACATTAGTTATACCAATGCCAACTGTGTAAAAGATGTATGAGAAGTCATATTTGACTGCAACTGTATGCAATTTAAAAAAAAAATCAAGTTATAAAAAGTACAGCTAGAACAGCTATGAAAGAGCAAAGGAAGTTGGTAATAAGGAACAGGAAAGTGGCACTGAAACACTATGATTAAGAAAATTAATCAACTACTAACACTGTCTTTCACTTCCAGGATGCCCAATTAAATCCAGTCTGAGGTGACTGTTCAGTCCTTGACTTTTTGACAGTCTATTAAAACAAATATACCCAATTTTCAATAAGCTTCTAAAACTACCACTCCCCAAATCTTGACAGTTCACAAAGACGACATAGGGAAATGAACTGCTCTTTCAACTTGACAATGATTTTTCCTCAGGTCAAGTTTGAAAGACATTGGCAGGGTAAATGGGCTATCTGATCCCACACCAGTAGGCATCAGTCCTAGACTAAGCAGATCACTTCCGTCCTTCATACGTACTATCAACCTTTTTTAACATCTGATATACTAAAAAGTTAGATGACAAGAACTGGGCTTGAATACATAAACCAGAGATTGCCAGCATTTCCCCTTTGATAATGATGGTGGCTTCCTGTACTTTCAGATGAGCTCATTAGGTATAAATGATTTTGCTTTCTGTGGGGAAAGTAGAAGGGGCTGGTAAAGGCAGCATGTCAAGACTTTTCAGTAAATCTGGATTATTACAGAAATCTTTCAGTTAACTTCTTGGGGTCTGAGATTCACCTGGCCTGAAAAAAAGTCATCAAGTGATTGTTTCATATTGCTCACATGGTAAATGTAGCCTTCTCATCTTGCATTTGCATTATCAGAAAAAATACTGAAAAGAAACATTTTTTAGAAAGCTTTTCAAACGGTCAGCATACATAAGGAGTTATCTGAAACATGAATGAATTAATTATTAATGCGAACTTTTGTCCCAATTGTATCCAGTAACAAAACTAGGTAGAATAACACTTTTGGCAGCTACTATGTTCAATACTGTGTCCCTTAAAGTGAAGGGATACACACTGATTTCTATGAAAGAATTATAGAAGTTATCAGCTTAAAACTTTTCACTTACTTGGCAATTGTAGTCAGTGTCCAGACCATCCCAAAGGCTCATGAACTGAGCTTTCATCATAGCTGTAGCTTCATGGTCAGAACTTGAGCGATTTCGTAGGAAGGAATCTATATGAAAAAGATTCAATGAACATTGTTCACCATATATGCAACTGTACCAACCATATAGTATTCTCTCTCTCAGGCACAAACTTTTAAAATAGTAACAACAGAAAAATATAGTTGGTACCAAGCAGATAAAAGCTCAACACCACTGAGAGGAAGAAATAAAAGTCAGATGTTGAAGAAAACCTAGAGTAGAAAAAAAAAAAACCTTCTCCAACTTCGTACTCTTCAGCACATGGCATGACATTTCTTATCTATAATTGGGTGAACTAGCTCTGAATTTTCTTATTCTTAGTTAAGTAAAAAATAAACATTCATCTTTGGTCCTCATGCAGTACACTGACGTGCTTTCACTCAGATTCCAACAAGCTCAGAAGTTTACAAAGAGAGCTAAATCAATGTCACTGCATGTTGAATCTATGTGAATTCACAGTCATGCAGAACGCTAACCCTATTAGTCATCTCCAGAAGAGTCCTTCAAAATAAATAAATAAATAAATAAATAAATAAACAAACAAACAAACAAACAAACATCACTGGAAAAAGTGACCATAAGCAGCGTGAAGTAGCTTTACTATATCTTCACAGTGAATTGTTTTCCTCCA